GTCTTTTTGAGACAGGGTCTCCCTGTAGCCCCAGCTGGCCTAGAACTCACTATGTAGACCAGGCTGGCCTTGAACTGACAGAGCTCCACCTGCCTCTGCCTCCCGAGTGCTGGGAATAAAGGCGTGCGCTACCACGCCCAGCTGCTTTTTACTTTTTATGAAAACAAAATGATGAATCCAGTGGCAAATAGCGGCTTTTCTGGTTTTTACCCCAAACTGTGCTATGTCAGGGCCAATCTTCATTCTTAGCTAGATGTGCTGGTGATCCTATATCACACTTTGGAGTGGTTCATTTTAAAGCTGTAGTGATATGAGTTTGTACATATTCTCTGGATACTTTGACTCAGGTTTCCATAGTTACACAAAGTGTAACTCTTTCTTGGTAATCTTGCTCTTTCTTGGTAGTCATCATTATGTTACAGTGAACTCTACAGTGAGATTGACCTCATTATCACAAGTGTTAATTGCTGATGGGGTTCTTTTCTGTTTCTTTAACAGGATATCTGATCAAATTCATGACCATGGGGGATATGAAGACCCCAGACTTTGATGACCTCCTGGCAGCATTTGACATCCCAGATATGGTCGATCCCAAAGCAGCTATTGAGTCTGGACATGATGACCATGAAAGCCACATCAAGCAGAATGCTCACGTGGATGACGACTCTCATACCCCCTCATCCTCCGATGTCGGTGTCAGTGTGATTGTCAAGAACGTTCGCAACATCGACTCCTCTGAGGGTGTGGAGAAAGATGGCCATAATCCTACAGGCAATGGCTTGCATAACGGGTTTCTCACAGCATCCTCTCTTGATAGCTATGGTAAAGATGGAGCAAAGTCCTTGAAAGGAGATGCGCCTACCTCAGAGGTGACTCTTAAAGACTCAGCATTCAGCCAGTTCAGCCCTATCTCCAGTGCTGAAGAGTTTGATGATGATGAGAAAATAGAGGTGGACGACCCTCCGGATAAGGAGGATGCACGGTCCAGTTTCAGATCAAATGTGCTGGGGTCAGCTCCCCAGCAGGACTATGATAAACTAAAAGTGCTCGGAGGGGAAAATGCAAGCAAAACTGGAATCTCTACATCAGGCCATGTAGATAAAAACAAAGTTAAGAGAGAGACAGAAACAAATTCTCTAAACCTGAATGTTTATGAGCCTTTTAAGGTCAGAAAAGCAGAGGATAAGTTGAAGGAAAACTCTGAGAAGGTACTTGAAAACAAGGTCCTTGATGGGAAGCTAAACTTGGACAAGAACGACACCAGCCTTGCTGGTGTCACATCTAAAACAAAGTCGTCCTCCAAGCTCTCATCATGCATAGCTGCCATTGCCGCATTGAGTGCTAAAAAGGCTGCTTCAGATTCCTGCAAAGAGCCTGTGGCCAATTCGAGAGAAGCTTCTCCATTACCAAAAGAAGTTAATGAGAGTCCGAGAGCTGCCGACAAGTCTCCGGAATCCCAGAGTCTCATTGATGGCACCAAGAAAGCTTCTCTGAAGCCACCGGATAGTCCTAGGAGCGTCTCCAGTGAGAACAGCAGCAAAGGCTCCCCATCCTCTCCTGCGGGGTCCACGCCAGCAATCCCTAAAGTCCGTATCAAGACTATCAAGACGTCTTCAGGGGAGATCAAGAGAACAGTGACCAGAGTATTGCCAGAAGTGGATCTGGACTCTGGGAAGAAGCCTTCTGAGCAGGCAGCATCTGTGATGGCCTCTGTGACATCTCTTCTGTCATCTCCAGCATCGGCCACTGTCCTTTCCTCTCCCCCCAGGGCACCTCTCCAGTCAGCCATGGTCACTAATGCAGTTTCTCCTGCAGAGCTGACCCCCAAACAGGTCACCATCAAGCCTGTGGCCACTGCTTTCCTTCCTGTGTCTGCTGTCAAGACGGCAGGGTCCCAAGTTATCAATTTGAAGCTCGCTAACAACACAACAGTGAAAGCCACGGTCATATCTGCTGCCTCTGTTCAGAGTGCAAGCAGTGCCATCATTAAAGCTGCCAATGCCATCCAACAGCAAACTGTCGTGGTACCGGCATCCAGCCTGGCCAATGCCAAACTTGTGCCAAAGACTGTGCACCTTGCCAACCTTAACCTTCTGCCTCAGGGTGCCCAGGCCACCTCTGAACTCCGCCAAGTGCTAACCAAACCTCAGCAACAAATAAAGCAGGCAATAATCAACGCAGCGGCCTCGCAACCACCCAAAAAGGTGTCTCGAGTCCAGGTTGTGTCATCCTTACAGAGTTCTGTGGTGGAAGCTTTCAACAAGGTGCTGAGCAGTGTCAACCCAGTCCCAGTTTACATCCCAAACCTCAGTCCTCCCGCCAACGCAGGGATCACATTACCGATGCGTGGGTACAAGTGTTTGGAGTGTGGGGACTCCTTCGCCCTGGAAAAGAGCCTGACCCAGCACTACGACAGGCGTAGTGTGCGCATCGAAGTAACATGCAACCATTGTACAAAGAACCTTGTTTTTTACAACAAATGCAGCCTCCTTTCTCATGCCCGTGGGCATAAGGAGAAAGGGGTGGTAATGCAATGCTCCCACTTAATTTTAAAGCCAGTTCCAGCAGACCAGATGATAGTTTCTCCATCTAGCAATACTTCTTCCACTCTGCAGAGCTCTGTGGGAGCTGGCACTCACACTGTAACAAAAATCCAGTCTGGCATAACTGGGACGGTTATCTCCGCTCCGTCAAGCACACCCATCACCCCAGCTATGCCCCTAGATGAAGACCCCTCCAAGCTCTGTAGACACAGTCTCAAATGTCTGGAGTGTAACGAAGTCTTCCAGGATGAGACGTCACTGGCTACACATTTCCAGCAGGCTGCAGATACAAGTGGACAAGTAGCGTATCATTTAAATTTTGGTGTTTCGGTGATGAGTCTGTAGCCATGAGTGCTCACTCAGATGCCTTGATTTTGGGGGTAGCAGCACAGTTATGTGGAGGGTGTGTGCGTGTATGTATGCAGGCAAGCACAGGAAGGAGAAAGGTTTGTTTTCATAGTATAGCACGATGTTGAAACACGAAGGTGGACCCTCAGCTGGATATAGAGTGTATGCCCTGAATGAATTTTGTTAGGTAATTGTTGGGTCATTGGAATATATGTCGGAAGTCTGAGATTTAGCTATAAAATTGGAGTGTCATCCCATTGTATTAAGTGTCCAGTTTGGATTACATTGCCGTAGTATCTGAGTTATTAGTGATGGTTTTGGAATTTTAACAATGACTGTCATTTATAGCACTGAAATGATTTATAAACACATATAATGGTGTCCACTTTAAGGATCATCTCCTTGGGAACCATGGCTCAAAACTATATTCAGTGATACTCATTGCAGTGATTTTTAACTATATATTGCAAACCATCTGATACAGAAAACCTTTGTGTCTTTGCAGCTTTTTATGTTTTGTAGTGAAGTATGGGTTGACGTTGGTGAAATATATTTCACAATTTGCAGCAATCTCTCTCATTTACTTTTCTTCGTGAGACCACATTTGGCTAATACATAGCACACATAACAAACATGCCTTACATGCTGAGTGAAATATTTCCAAGTAGAGAGATTGTAGTGTATATTGCCAGCTGAAGAAAGTATGTGGTTTGAAGAGGAGGGGGCCTAGGTTGAGCTCCTGTTTGAGGCCTCTCAGCTGACTCTTAGGAGCCCTGTGCTGTGGTTTGACTCCTGATTCTGTCTTGGTGCTGGCTCTTCAAAAACAACTACTGATCAAAGTAACCTATAGGATTTTGAGTTTGGGGAATGAAAGATAAAAATGCCTGTTTCTTTCTTCTGTGTTTTTACTCTAGTGGCAGTGGAAGTGGTGAGTTTTGACCACATTCTTGCAGGTTGTATGTTTAACATGTTATTGGCTCTAACAATAAATGCTCCAGCAAGTGGACAGTGGCTCAGGATAGCAATCCTATAGCTCTTGGAGTGCGTCCTAGTGATGATGCTTGGGTTCTGGCCATCTGAATACTCCCTGATCTTGTCACACTTCAACAAAAGATGAAAAGGGGGAAAAACACAAGAAAAGCCCCAAAGCCATTTCTGGAGTTGTTTGTACTGTTGTCTGCCTTAGGTCCGGTGTGTCCTGGCCCAGGAAAGTTTGCACACTGCGCTAGTTGTGGGTTCTCAGTTTGGAACTACCTTCAGCTGTGCCCATCTCTTTGGGACCTGTTCCCACAGAAGAACATGGGCAGGTAGGTAGGATTTTCCCTGTCCCCTGTACTCCCCCAGCTTTACTGCTTTGATAACTTTTTAGGGTCACCTGGCTGGTAACCCTAAAAATAAGGTCAAATAGCAAAGCTCTCTCCCCTGGGGGAAAGAGATGAGTATCTCTTGTTACTTTGCTATCATTTTTGTGTTTTGCTGGGACAAGTAAAACCTGCAGGTCACCTACATTACCTGGAATCCAAAGGAATGAATCATGGCAGGGTAAACTAACCTCTAAGGCCAGGTGTAATTTAGCAAAACATACATCTCCTTTCTCAGTCTTTTTTCCAGTTATGCCTACCAGAGCCATCTGCCTAGCTCCTTCAAGAGATTTTTATGTAGCAAATCTGTCAGCAGCAAGCTCTTCAGGGCTGCTGCCGTAGAATGCCCCATGTGACAGTCCTCCAGGAGTCAATTCCCTGTCTTTCATTGTAGTCATAGTCCAGACCCCATGTGCAGTTTCCTGTTTTCCACAGACTTAACCCAATGGTTGGCTTACCTGGTCCAGGAGAGATTTATAAATCTGCCTCCTCAGCCCTGGCTTACGTCAGCTATGACTGGCTGAATGGCTGTTCTTAATCCTGCACCCAATTTGAGCCACTTTGAGACTGTTCCATAGCAAAATATAATATAGGCTCATGATGTGGGAGCTTGGGCAACTCTCCACCATTGCCACCATAGTAGCAGGAGACCAGGCTACAGTATGCAGAGAATGGATCATAGTCTTTACACATCTTTGCAGCTTGCCAGCTATGTGGATATTAGCCAGTTAATAACTTGTGAACTGAGGGACTAGAGAGATGTTAAGAGCACCAACTGCTCTTCCAGAGGAACTGGGTTCAATTCCCAGAACCCACATAGCAGTAACAATGCCCATAACTCCAGTTCCAGGATCTGAAGCCCCCTTCTGGCCTCTGAGGGCATTGCATTCATGTGGTGCCCTACATACGTGCAGGCAAAACACTCATACGCATGAAATAAAAATAAATACAAAACATTTTCAGTGAAAAAAATTTGCGAACCTAAACATCTGGAGAACTATCTCCTTATAGAAAGTTTCTTCTCCGAGAATTGCACATAAATATAGTTTTCATAGAAAATTTAGAGGTTGAACCAGGGCACCTCTGGATTGAAGGCTTTATTGAGTCCATTCTCTGTGGTGTCCATGGATTGGAAAGTTACTTTTATTTTCCATTTTCCCCATTAACCTCCACATTCTTGGTTACTTGTTGGTAAATTGAGAAACAGGACCACTCCACAGTTTTAATAGCTTCCCTGGCCTCACATCCCAACATGCTCTCTGGAGCATCGTCCTGGTACTGCCAAGAACTGTGCCTTCAGCTCTTCGCTTCCCTTAGATGGGTCACAATGTAGGGTCCCTTGGTCTGCCTGTTAGTTAGAGTCGGCCATAGTAGCTTTCCTACAGGGATCCTACTGCTGCTGTTAGGTTCTCAGGTGTGAAGGAGGTGTCCTCAGGGGTCTTGGCTAGACCAGCAGGCCCACCACACTTTGGGCATTACCTTTCAGCTTTGGTTAGCTGGGCCTGGAGAAGGGGTACCACTTCATCTGCATCAGGATCTTTTTTCCTTTCTTTTTCTTTTGAGATAATTGTAGATTCATGTAAGAAATAAGAGTTCTGAGTACCCTTCATCTAATCCCTCAATGGTAACAGCTCACAAAAGTAAAGAATAATAATTGCAACCAAGAGGGTGACATCATGTGTCAAGTGTCACAATTTGCCACCCCACTGTGTTGTAACCCCTGGCAACCACTACCTATTTTCATTTCTATAATTTGCCTTTTCAGGAATGTTATAACTGTGAAACCATACAGTATACAGTAGGATTGGCTTTTTTCACTCCATGTATTTCCCTGGAGATGCACCTAGGTTGTTGTCTGTTGCATGCAGTACATATGCTCTTTGACTCATGATGCTGGGTATGTTCTCAATAAACCCATCAAAAGTTGAAAATATCATACAAGTAGAAAATGGAATCAAATATGCTTACTCTACCAAATAGCTTAGCAACACAGCACACTGCGGAGTGTTAGTTCTTTCCCTTTGTGATTGACTCAGTGGCTGTCTGCTCAGCACTAGGAAAGAATAGTAGCCTGCGTATTGCTAGCCTGGGAGAAGATCAAGATTCAAAAATCTCAAAGTGTGGTTCCACCGAATGCGTATCACTTTCACACATCAAAATGTCCTAAATCAAACCATAGCTACCTGGGAACTCTGTAGTCTGTTCCATAGTATTACAAATGCATGGTTGTACCACAGTTGTTTGTTTTTTTTTAATTAAGAACTGTGTTTGCATGCACTCATGCACATGTGCATAACTTGTGTGTGTGTGTGTGTGTGTGTGTGTGTGTGTGTAGTCCAGGGGTCAACTTCTGGTGTCTTCCTTGATTGCTCTCAACTTTATATTTGAAATTGGGTTCTCACTGAACCTAGAGCTTGAAGAATTGGCTTAACTGGCTAGCCAGTGAGCCCTGGGGTCCACCTGTCTTCACTTCCCCAGCACTGGGATTACAAGCCTGCATGCACACACTGCCTTTCACCTGATTTTTGTTCATGGGTTCTGGGGGATTGAACTCAGGTCCTGATGCTTGTGTGGCAACTGCTTTACTGAACTAAGCCATCTCTGCATCCCCATACACAGTTTCTTTAAAGAGTCACTCATTGTAGGATTTCTGTACTGTTTGCAGTTTGGAACTATTATGAAGAACATCTGTGAACATTTACATTCAGGTTTTTGTGTTAGCACAGGTTTTTATTTCTCCAGAATAAATGCCCAGGGGTCTGTTAGTTAGTTTGGATGGAGTTTGTATACTTAGATTTTTTTAAAAAACCTTTTTTTTTTTTTTTTCGGTTGAGACAGGGTCCCTCTGTAGCCCCAGCTGGTCTGGAACTCACTGTATAGACCAGGCTGGCCTTGAACTCACAGAAATCTGTCTGCCTCTGCCTCCCAAGTGCTGGGACTAAAGGCTTGTGCCACCACACCCAGCACAGGTGTATAGTTTTATTTCATTGTGATTTGAGTTTGTTTCCCCATTGGCTCATGATGTTGACTGTCTTTTCATTTGTTTATTTGCTGTTTATATCCTTTTGGGGAAATAACTTTTGTCCATTTTCTAATTAGGTTTTTGTTTTGTTTCATTTTGTTTTGTTTTTAATTATTGAGGTTTAAGGATTCTTGATGAAGTCTAGGCACCAGTGCTTTATTGAGTATGTGCCTGTAAGCCTTTTCTCGTAGTTTGTATGCAACTCATCTCTTCATCCTCTTAAGTCTCTGGCTGAGTAAAAGCTTTTAATTTTGAAGCTGTCCAATTTGTCATGTCTTTGGTGTCAAGAACTCGATACCTAGCTGTAGATAATGATTTTCTTTTGTCCCTCCCCCCCCCAAAAAAAGGTTCTTTAGTTTTATCTCTGATCCATTTTCAACTAGTTTTGTAGGGACTCTGAAACAGGGCTCGTTTAATTTTTTGACCCTGCATGCCACTTTCTTCAGCATCATTTGCTGAAAAGGCCGCCTTTCCTCCTGTGTACTGTGTGCACCATGTCAGGGGTCACTTGAGCATGTGTTTGTGGCCATTTCTGATTGCTTTATTCTGTTTCATTGATCTTTGTGGCT